TATTTTCCTGGGCTTTTCAGGGCCTGCCCCACTAACACCTAGCTTTAAGGGAAGGCTTTTGGATGGTCACTGAAAACACAAGATGCTCTCAGATGGGTCCATCCCTTCTTATCTCAAGCAATGGAGGAGAAGCATCTGATGCTTCTGCTCGAATCGGCCACCTGGCATAGCAGCCTGTCGCGGCATGGCGATCGCCAAATCTGTTAAGGTGCGTAAAGCCTCCACCCTGCCAGTTCAGAGTGGTGAGTGGGAAAGAGGACAGATTACAGGGTGAGTGTATGTTAAATATATGCAGAATTTAAACAGTTCTATGGATAAGAGAATAAAAAATAGTCTGAACACATTTATCATAGTGTTTTGTTTCGCTCATTCCAATGAGTAAATCTGCGCTTAAAGCTTTTGTTTTTAACTGTTGGGTAAAGCCCTTTTAATGAGTGAATAATAAATTCAGAGTACACGTTTAGGAAATAGTCAAGTAATGATCCCTGCTTTGTCAAGATACTTGTTGATGTGCTAACTAAATAGATGTGTGTTTACATTTCTTGTCTATCCTCTGGGGCCATGACCATATCTCTTAAGTTTACAAGTAGGTGAACTTAAGTTACAAATCTGCTAAAGGGGCGTCAACAGTAGTTACTTCAAGAAGACCATTTCTGGAAACATGCTTTTATTCACGCAGCTGAAAACTTGTATTTATATACCTCTCTGTGGAGTATATCTTTTCTTTTAGATCAGATGACTGTTCCACATTTATTGATTTGCCATCCCAAGGTTTCATTGAACACGTATGAAAAATGGCAAGCTGGCTGTTCATATGTTGACTCGGGTAGCACCAACATATAAAAAACCTTGTGCAGCATCAAATAATGGTGGTCTTTTCTGGATGACATCGAGTGACTCAGAATATCAAATAAGTTCATTCTAAAATTGTTTTTATTTTTTTATCCAATATATGGAGCCAAAATAAAGCTTTTGCTAGTTAGTTTTACCAATGGCGAAATCTCTGACATCAGGAATGCCATTGTAAACTTAGCTGAAACACTGAGCATTGGGGCTTATTGAATTTGGTAGCGACAATATGAATGCAAACTTTGATGAAGGACAGCATCATGGCCAATAAGATATTCTTGCAAAATGAGGGAATCTGTGAGACAGAAATGTACTTGGGATTGGCCGCAGTGCCCTGATTTTCCATGATTGTGTACAGACAAGTGATAATGTGCCATCGATTGAATTAGAAGCTGTAGTGTCCACATTTATCAATATTTTTTTTAATGTTTACTCTTGAGAGAGAGAGAGAGAGAGAGAGCATTAGCGGGGGAAGGGCAGAGCTAGAGAGAGAGAGACATAGAACCTGAAGCAGGCTCCAAGTTCCGAGCCATCAGCACAGATCCCCAGGCGGAGCTCGAACTCACAAGCCATGAGATCATGACCTGAGCCGAAGTCAGATGCTTAACCAACTGAGCCACCCAGGCGCCCCTATAAATATTTTTATATATACGGTGTTGAGTAGCAACAACAGAGTTTTTCATGACAAGGATATGTCAGATATAAAAAATGTACTTCAGTGTGGCAATGTGCACTCTGTTTTTGCTGTTGATCATCAATCTGATTTTAGGAATCCTTGAACCTTTAAAGAGCTCTTAGTCAACCTACACATTTTCCAGAGCTATTGAACTCTTGTGCAAAAAGAAATCTCTACAGTTTTTGTTGAATCTGGGTCATAATCAGTTGGCAATTTTTAATCGAAATCTTCAATGATTGAATGGCAAGTCACTTCATCTCTGAAAGCTGCTAGTGAGTGGAAGTGAATTTTTTAAAAAGCTAGCAAAAAAGACACTGCCATTTTTTTTAAATTTTTTTTACAAGAACAAGGAATATTTGCCAGAAAGTAATCGATGAGGTCAAATGCTTTGTGCTATTCAGTGTTTAAATTCTGAAGTTTTCCTTTGAGATGTCTCAATTTGTGGGAAAAAAAAAATCTTTTGATGTTTAATAGAATAAATATGTATCTTACTAAAGAATGGAGGGAAATTGGGAAGCCACTTATTTTTCAGTATGCGTTTTGAGAAGAATCATGGAGACAATTTACTTGAAGTTTTATCTTGAAAAGATGTTTGACAGAGAATGTTCATACGAACGGATATAAAATATTTGGGCTGAAATATATGCAGATCTCAATACTTAAAAATTAAAATTGATAGTGATTTTCTCCATGTAACACATTTTTTGGTGTGAGATTTCAAGGTACCTCAGCGCCTGTAGAGAGAGTATTGTTGTAATTAAAATTATGATCCACAGTAGAGTCAATTAAAGGTGTCAATTTAATGGCTGTTAAGTGCAACTCTGAAGATGATTAAGAACAATTTTACGAAATATATAAAAAGATGGCATTAAAAAGTACATTCTTTTGACAAGTACCCTGACCTGGGACTATAAATAGATATAACCAGGAAACCAGTTACATATATGAATGTGTAGCACAAATAATCATTTTTTATGTATCATTTAAAAAAGTTCAGATAACATAAGCACATTGCTTTTAATATACAAAATACGCTTTTTAAAATATTTGAAGGACTGTATTTATAAGAATAAAATGGAATAGTTATGTGGGTCCATCAATATGATAAAACCAAGTCGACGGTTGATAAGTATTTCAAAGATGATATAATTCTGATTACTTTTAAAAGTATACAGATTTGGTTGATAAATTACTCTCCTTTTAGCTGAGACATGGTGGGACTCTTTAACCTTGTCTTCGAATATTAAATAGGCAAACTAAAACATCGAATTCGTGAAAACGTTAAAGGACGTTGTGACAATCATTTGTTATTTGGGTTTACTAACTTCTACTTTGTTCATAACCGGAATCTCATCATTTAGGTTTTTCGGAGGGAGGGGAGAAACAAAAAACAGTCAACTGAACTTAGGACACTTTTATGAAGTTGAGCTGCATGGAAATTTGAATCCTTTTCCAAGAAATTGTTTTGACCCAAAGCCTATGCTGCTGAAAAGAGGAAGCTACTTTTGCCCTTTGGGTCAGATTCCCTGGTGCTTTCAAGTCCTTCTTTGTAAACACGAATACTTGTGTAGCAGACAGAGATGGGTTTTCACCATTGTGCCCGTTAATAGATGTTGTGGATTGCTGAGCATAAATTAGGTTGCTCTGGCAACATATCTAATTTTTAATGCAAGCTGCTTGAAGAATTAGAGAGTAAGGGAAATAAGGAATTTAAAGAGGGGATGAAAAAAGGAAAAATGTCTTGCAAGTTTGATGTACCGAGAGGACACGAGCCCACCTTCTTCTTCTATACAGAATTCTCGGATTAAGGAGGTCAGCCCAGATGGTAAGAGATTCTTCAAACCATCCCGGCACCACCCCCTTTACCATAGAGGGGCTGACAGTGGTACATTCTCACCTCTACCCTCTGTGTGGTCTGTTTTGGCCACACGTGGCTTCAGAAACCAGGACAGGTGCAAGAAGGGAAGTGCTTTTTGACATTCCTGCCACATTGGTGCTTTCACCCGCCATCTCTAACTGGGTGGTGGGTTCTCTCTTCCCACCCAAATTGTGTCCAGTTTGATGGAAAAGAGAATACAAGAGGAGAGCGAAGTATTTTCTTTCACTTCAGAGAAGGTTATTCTTAAAATGGTCTCTTCAATTTAGAAGGTTTTGCTCCATAATTTCGCAGAATTCTAACTCCAGTAGAATTCTAGATAGAGAGAAATGAAAAGCTTTGTTAGATTTATCTGAGGTTTTGCGTTAGATGTAGTGGCTGCAGTGACCCTGATAGGCAAAAGCCAAGAGGTAAATCCCGGTCACGATAGAGTTCCCAGGAAGCTAGATTATAATATCAGAAAATAAGAAATTGTGTAAAAATACCCACTGTTTAGAGACTAGTCTTTTCTCCAACATTTGAGCAATTTCCAAATTCTTTTTGTAAGCATTAACTGCCTAACATGGTAAAACACATTTGAGATTTTCTTTTTTTTATTAAAAAATTTTTTTAACGTTTATTTATTTTTGATGGAGAGAAAGAAAGAGAGAGCGTGAGTGGGGGAGGGGCAGAGAAAGAGGGAGACACAGAATCTGAAATGGGCTCCAAGCTCTGAGCTGTCAGCACAAAGCCCGATGCGGGGCCCGAACTCCCAAACTTCGAGATCGTGGCCTGAGCCCAAGTTTGACGCTTAACTGAAGTCTGACCTGAGGCACCCAGGTCTTGAGATTTTCTAGAAGCAAAGTAAGGATACTATTCTTAGAAGGCTGAATTCTGTTTCACGTGAAGAACGGGAGGCTGGAGAAGATGAACTTGTATTTGCTTCTAATTCTATAAAGGAAAAGCCAGTCGATCATTGGGCAGCCTCCACAGGGATAACCTGTGTAGGATGCAGTCTCTGGCAGTGACTTTGTCTGCCTCCAGCGGCCTATTGTGTTTCTGAGGCAGTTGCCAAAGGATGACTGAAATGTTCATCGGATTTACAGTGGGTTTAAAACACAACAAAAAATGTAATAGAGTTTGACAAAGAAGCCGCAGGAGTAGGAGACGCATCATCGTCTGGAGTTCTCATATACCATGTTGTCACCTGCTGAAAATGTTTCTGAAGGATTGTGAGGGGACATGGGGAAGGGGAGCTGGCAGGTGAGCTTGTGAAGCCAGACAGGACGTCGGGCTCAGCCAAATGGAAGGAGCTGCGAGTTCTCTGGCAGAAACAGCAGCTTCCACAGAGAAATGAAGCTCTTGGTTCTGTGGAGTTTCCACACAACATGGCCTCATACTGAGGTAGCAACTGAGGCACGCTGTGAATGGTTGTATCTGAATGAGTGGGCAGTAGTTCCTTGGAGTCAATAAATATTTAAGTTGTGAACAATAGGATTCCTCCCTTGGAGTCACTCTGTGGATGAGTACCTTGTTATTGTAACACGGCATAGAGATTTCTGTTGTGGGACAATAAAAATAAAACGTGACCAAGTTAAGTCTTGCCTTTATGTTTCCTAGGAATCCGAGAAAAAGGGGTTAATTGAAAGAATCTATATGGTACAGGATATTGTTTCAACTGTTCAAAACATCTTGGAGGAAATAGCTTCTTTTGGAGAAAGAATTAAAAAGTAAGTTCTACGTTCGTGCTGTGTTTGAAATGGAGCTGCCATCCATAAGGACGGTGGGGGTAAGAGGGCGGGGGGGGGATCAATAAATGCGAAAAACAAAAAACAAAAGGTAACAGTGTTTGGGGCAAGTCCTATTTATGTTTGTTAGTTTGTTCTTTGGGCTTGTCCGCTTTACAGTTGGGCAGTGCCTCAGAACTGGGGTGACGATATGGCCAATTCACACCAATTGCCCTGCCATGATTATCTCCCTCTCAAAATATCTTGGTTTGGGTGATAAATTAAAGATTTTTTTTTTATTTAAAAAAAATTTTTTTTAATGTTTATTTATTTATTTATTTGTTTTTTAATTTTTTTTTTTTTTCAACGTTTATTTATTTTTGGGACAGAGAGAGAAAGCAGAGCATGAACAGGAGAGGGGCAGGTGAGAGAGGGAGACACAGAATCAGAAACAGGCTCCAGGTTCTGAGCCATCAGCCTGAGAGTCTGACAAGGCCTCAACTCACGGATCACAGATCGTCAGGATTCAAGGCTCGGATTTTAACTGACTGGTGCCTACCCACAATAAATGCAGGAGTATTTATATTTTGAGACAGAGAGAGACAGAGCATGAATGGGGGAGGGTCAGAGAGAGGGAGACACAGAATCCCAAGCAGGCTCCAGGCTCCCGGTAGCACAGAGCCTCGCACGCTGCCTCAACCCATGGACCATGAGATCATGACCTGGAGACAAGTTTGATTTAACCGACCACTGAGCCACCACGAAAAAGCTCTTTCCAACATTTTTTTTTTTTTTTAAAGAAGAGTATCCTAATCAGAAATGAAAAAGGAAGGAAATATGCTCTAAAGTTACCTTTTTCAACGAAAACATAGACCACAGTGAATGCCTCGAGTCATTTTTTTCTCAACATAATAAAGGTTGTACATAGCTAACAGACTTTCTTTATAAGGGGCAATGAGTAAATATTTTCATCTTGGTGGACCGTAACGACTCAATTCTGCTAAGTATGAAATCAGGCATCATTGATACCTAAATGAATGGGTATGAAATGTGTTCTAACAAAACTTTATTTACAAACGCAGGTGGCAGGCCAGAGTTGACTGATATCCAACCTGTAGCTGTCACTTCCTACCTTAGGGCACAAGGACTAAATATCTAATAGAGTCTCAGTTGAGAAAGACTCCTTCTGTGATTCTTGTTTGTTTTGTTTTAAGCATTATGAACTCTGTATAACCTGGTCTTCATTTGGGACCAATGAACAGAGCAATTTTTAATTTTCTTGGCTTTTAAATTGTAAACTTATTTCCTCTTTTAAATCCAGAATTATGTCAACTGTGTTGTTCTTTCTGAAGATTAATTCTTTTTTCTTATTTTGTTGGCCATTCTAGTTTCTGTAAGCAATGAAGATAATACTTTAGAAATTTCATGGGTAAAGAAGAGATTAAAATTAGTGCTAAAAGCCAAGGGAAAGTTTTATATACCAAGATGCAAGGAAATCACTAAGTTATAATTAGCAGCAGGAAATATAAATAGTTAATATGGAACTCTCTACGGATACTGAACTTTCTCAGTTCCTTGTCCAATTCAGTCGGTCTTGTGTGGCCATTTACTATTGGCACAGTAAGATGTGTTCGTTTTGTTTATAAAATAGGTTATAAATCATCTTTAAACAAATTTGGTAAGTTTTACTGAATTTACATGTTGCTATTCCCATTATCAATGTCTTAGAAGAAAAATTAAAGAGCAGGAAGATTTTTGCTTATATATGTCGGTGCCTACCTGCTTTTTTCCTCTTGATTTTATATAAATTGACAAAAGGTTTCTTAAATTACCCTCAAAGTTGTTTAACAGAAACGTGACAATAGAAAATAGTCAAATGATGAGGAGGGCATAGTAGTTCTCCCTTCATTCACTTATTAACTCTCAGTTCTAAGTTTCAGGCACTGACCTGGTCTAAGAATGAGAAATATTCCATAAAACCATGATAATAGCAACATCAGCTCACGTCATGTGCTGGCCAGACACTGTTGTAAACTCTCCACACATACTAATTTATTTAAGAAGTTACTGAGAGGAATCAGATTACAGGATTCCAGAAAGCCTATGGATTAAGGATTGTTAATCTACCCATTTTACAGATGAGGAAATGGAATCAGAGAGTGATTAACTCTGTAGCCCGAGGTCACAGAACTAGTAAGTGAAGAAGCTTAAATTTAAAAAAAAAAATTTTTTTTTGATATTTATTTACTTTGGGTGGGGGGGCGGTGAGCAGGGGAGGGGCAGAAAGAGAGGGAGATATAGAATCCGAAGCGGGCTCCAGGCTCTGAGCTGTCAGCACAGGGCCCGACCAAGGGCTCGAACTCACGAACCGTGAGATCATGACCTGAGCTGAAGTCGGACGCTCACCTGACTGAGCCACCCAGGTGCCTTGAAGAAGCTTAGATGTTAACCCGCCCGCCTCACTACTACCCTAGAATGTCATTTTCCTCTAAGGAGCTATTTCCCAGTGAGGGAGAATAGTAATAAGACAATTAGAATTCAGTTGCACTGATGTGACGTAGCGGTAAGGCAGGCTGTTAGGAGAGATCTGACCAGCCCAGAAAGGGATGTAGGAGAGAGAAAGACCGACAGAGGGTAGTTCTGAAGAAACAATACCTTATCAGCATGTCTGATAATGGAAAGAGACAGTTGAGGAAAGAGTGGAAGAATCAAGAAGTCAGTAAGTGGGAGACTTTGTGCGAAGGTTCAAAGCCCGAGACTGTACTAGATACAGGGAGTGTGTGGGGGCTTAGTATGTCTGTGTGACAGCAGATGGTGATGGCGGTGCATGGAGGTGAGGCAGATCGTACAGGGCCTTGAGTGGG